TCTCCCTGCATGCAGGCAGAACTGAGTATACATTAACCTGCTTTGCTCTTCCCTGTAGCCCAATAAGCTTGTATAGTGTGTTCTTAATTTCCAGTGACCTGTTTTCAGATTGTATTCTACTATTTTGCAATATCAAAGCTTTTTGTGAAATTCAGTCTAAAAAATTAAAATTAAGACTGACTTTTTTCTTGTCATTAGCCATGGGGAATGGTTGATCACAGTTTCTGTGATCTGGAGTGAACCAGACACATACAACTTTTCCTCTGTCTCGGTTTTTAGTTTGTCTCGAGCATCCAAGGGGCTAAATTTGATTTCATTCTTCTGTTGTTTTGGACATTTGACCAGTTGTAATGTTTTATTCTACTTATGTTCTGCTGGATATTTTTATTATTTCAGTTTGAAGAACTGAAGTGTAGTAGGATAATTGAGATAGTGATAGAGAGATTTAATCACCCACACATGCACATTTTTTATTTTTTCCCATAATAAGGAATTATGTTGTAATTTCTGTTTATAGCTTAGTTTTGTGAAAACTGAGATTTAAAACTAAAACAGCTGAAGACATTTAACATATCATGAAGGACCTAATTAGGCTGCAGAAATAGGTTATAAGATAAATACTCAAAGGAAAGGCCTTTTTATTTTCAAATCTTTTGGCATGAGTAGTTGTGTCATTATAATTTCCTTGCCACTTTTTGGTCAAGAACCAGAGTTCTTTATCTTTCTTACTGGAAGTCTATAACCTTTGAGGTTCCCTTTCTACCTCCGGAAGCCTCCAGAAATTCTGAGATAAAACTGTAGAAGAGTAGCTGAATTTCCATAAGCAAAAATAATTCAAATCACTTTAAAAAGGGAAAAGTAGATGTAAATTACAGAAGGAAATGATACTGTGAAACAAATGACCATTGATTCTATGAGAGCTGATACCAAAAGGAGTGGCAGAAGGCTCTTGTGAATCATAGCGGAGAACAGCTTTTACGTCCTGCGTGTACTTGCAGATAAACCAGGATTCAGAAATTATTGCATTTATTCATTCTGCTGCCATTGTCAGTGATCAGAAAAGATTTGCAAGAACATTTCTACCCAGGAAGAAAACCAATAGTGTGAAACTCCTGAAACAAAGAAAGGATTTTTGAATCAGGCATCAGAGCCTTCCCAGAAGAGGGAACTCAGCCCATATGGTCTCTTGAAGTTACTCTTTAGCTTTACCTGTGTAGTAAAGGTGTAAACATTTTCTATCTTCTAGCACGTTGATGAAGTTAAGATTTAAAATGAACACATACGATCAAGGCAATGTAAATGGTAACCAGTGTATTTTGATTTGCTAATTAAAAGACATGCAAGAGGTGGTCTGCCCTGATTAGTTTCCTCTTTACGCTTTGCCAGACTTTGTGTCTCTTGGGTGGGATGCCATATAACGAAGTTTGATGTTTATAGGAGTTCTTCTGTACATGACAAAATAAAACCTGAGGCAAGGTAAGTAGGGAGAAGAAAGAACAGAAGGGTAGGTAAGATGGAGAGCAGAACATGAAGAAAACTCAAATACATCCTTTTAATTATTAATATGAATGCTCTCCTGCATTGAGGCTTAGGCTATGGATGTGTTAAAGAAAAGACTCACAGAGGAATATGAAACCTGAAAGGGAAGTGAATATGCCGAGGTATGAAGTTATTTACTTCTGCATTATCATTCTTTTCTAGAAAGATGCTTGGGTTACGTCTTGCAGTGGTCACAGAAAATTAAGTTGCTGATTCCCATAGCCATCAGATTTCCTGGTTTCCCTTCCATTGGCACAGCGTCACCTGTGGTAGCGGTGCTGGCAATATTGGTGGAGGCTGCTGGCAGCCCATCTACAGTGTCTCAACTGGAGTATCTAGTTCCCAGTGAGCAGAGTTGTGAGAGAGAGTTGGAGCAATCAGATGACATTTGTACTTCCCCTGCACGAATTCTTTCTTTTTCATATAAACATGTGGATTAATTTCACTTGCAAAACGGGATGATATATATTCTTGCAGACATCACATGCAAATTTTTAATCCCTTTTCAAAATTCCATTTTATCGCTATAAGGATATTTTAACATACTTGATTTAAATCACATTTGATGGTTATTTCACATAATGATAGAACATGGAAACTGCAAAACACCAGCAAGAATAGTGGAAGGCTTCCTGTAAAAACAAGGGTGTTCCAGTCTGCAGGCATCCTTAGGCTCATTTGAAATCCCCAGGACGAAATACAGTTTGTCTGTGTTATGTACATTTAGGATAATATACAGAAATAATAAATAATTGTGTTCATGGTTCTTGTGAGGATAAGCTATCATGCTGACTGCTGTTTCCAAAGAGACAAAATACTAACCATAAGGTAATAGGGTGACTAACAACAAAATCCAACAATTTATTGTTGGATTAATTATTTATTCTCTGTATTCTATGAGGGGAGAGGTAGGGTACGTCGAGATTTCTAACAACAGAGTTGTGTTGAAGTTGGTTGAATTGTACCAGCAGAGATTTTGGTTTTATAGTCTCAGCAAATAAACTGAGTTCTTTCTTGAGAAAGTTCAAATGAGAAGCAATTAGTATTCCCCCGGCCTAATTTTCCACCTGATAAGTGAAGACAGATTTGATTAGAAAAGGTGAATTTGGGCATTCTTCTGGTAGCAGATCATCTGCTTGCATATGGCTTCATTTGACCTTAACTTAACTCCTTAACTCCTGCTTCTTAACTCCTGCTTCTTAACTCCTGCTTCTCTTTGCTTTTGAGCATGTTCTGATAGTCACTGCACTGAGTGCAGTGTGTGCATCATCTGTGTGCTTCAGGATTTTTTTCCTTTTATGCTGTGTTTGATTTCATCTCCATATTAATTTTAAAATTCATGTATAAAATAAACTTGAAGTGAGATAGGTTATGGATGCAATTGCACTTTTTTTTTGTGAATACAGCAGTCTGAATTTTTAAAATACTGATTTGATTGTCTTGTTTTATCTTGTGGATAAGGACTTTCTGGATGTGTGATTCTGCTCTCCATGAGCTATCAGGCTGACTGTAAACCGGGTTCTGCTGACTTGGGGGTAGTAGCGGATAAAAAGCTGGACATGAGCCACCAATGTGCGCTCGCAGCCCAGAAGACCAACCACATCCTGGGCTGCATCAAAAGGAGTATAGCCAGCAACTTGAGAGAGGTGATTCTGCCCCTGTACTCTGCTCTGGTGAGACCTCACCTGCAGTACTGCATCCAGTTTTGGAGCCCTCAGCACAAGAAGGACATGTACCTGTTAGAGGAGGCCACAAAAATGATCAGAGGGCTGGAGCACCTCTCCTATGAACACAGGCTGAGGGAGTTGGGGCTGGTCAGCCTGCAGAAGAAAAGGCTCTGGGGAGATCTTATAGCGGCCTTCCAGTACCCGAAAGGTGCCTATAAGAAAGCTGGGGAAGAACTGTTCACAAGGGCATGTAGCAATAGGATGAGGGGTAATGGTTTTAAACTAGAAAAGGGTAGATTTAGGTTGGATATTAGGAAAAAGTTCTTCAGTATGACGGTGGTGGACCATTGGAACAGGTTCCCCAGAGAGGTAGTGGAGGCCCCGTCCCTGGAGATATTCAAGGTCAGGCTTGATGGGGCTCTTAGCAACCTGCCTCTGGTAAAGGTGTCCCTGCTTATTGCAGGGGGGTTGGACTAGATGACCTTTGAAGGTCCCTCCCAACCCAGTACATTCTATGATTCTGTTCTATGAGCACTGAGGTTAATGTTGCTGTGAATGTTGCTGCCTCTCTCTTACCATCTTTGCTGTACAGATTTCATAACTTGTCTCCTCCTGTCTGTTTACCCCAGGGCTTTTTTGGGGGGTCATCTGAAACTGATCCTGTGGTCTTTAGTTTGGTAATTTTTCCTCTCCCTCTGCTGCTTTTAGGGTGGGTTTGTTTATTTGTTTATTGTCACACTGCAAGGCACAGTAGGAAGGTAATTGTCTATCAGATGTACTATAGATTTTATTATTGATCACATTGTGCAGTAACAGTAGGATGTCAAATTGAATTTTAAGCTGTTTAATGTTGCTTCACTGGGGATGGCTGCTAAGTGCTGTATGCCTACTGATATGTCATACCCCGGGTCTTGTTTTGGGGTTCTTAGATTTTGGACATTCCTGAAAGTTTAACTAGTTCCTGGTGATACAGAAGTTTGGAAACTAATTTCTTCCTGAGATTGTTCCTAGGTGTTATCTTTGACCTGTTGCTTTAACATTATACATTTCTCTGTGGTCAGATGCAGGCACAGCCCAAACAGTGGTGTCTGTTTTGCGGCAGAGTGAGATGCACTCTCTGCACCTGAGACTTGTCAGGGAAAGCACCAGACATGGCTGAGGGTCCATACTGTAGGGTCTCCAGCTAGACCACCTTGATCTCAGACACAGAAGGAAGGGAAACCCTGTTGTCTGTGGTGCTCCAAATACATACTATGTGTGGATCAGTGCCATTTTGTGCTGAATCTCTATTTCAGTTACTGTAGAGGCTTCTAGATCTTCACATCTTTCTTGCAATCAAGAAAGTTACAGTTCAAATGTTTTCAGTTTTATTTGTGAGTACGCTATGGAGAAACTTCAAGCCAGCTTCTTTGTTTGTAACCTTAAAAGTCATACTTCTGCTTTGTACTCTGACATTTTGTTACCAGCACATTGTTTCCTTCTGTTTGGATGGAAATTATTTGTAGGTACAAACAACTCTGATGTAACCATATATGGTATATTTCTTCAAGGTGGTCGTACAAATTGGGCTGTTGAAACAAACTACTTTCAGTTTGTATGTAGAAATATCCTTTGAAAGAAGATGAAGATTAAGCATCTGAAATAGCCTATTTTAAAAAAAAAATCTGTTTTGTCTCATTCTTTAGTTTTCTTGATTAGATCCACTGTTTATTTAATATTTTAAACTTCATTGCTAATAAAATATCTCACTGAATACTTTTTGATAAATATTTTCACTTTCCCTTTTCTCTCTAGGTGGAAGAAATTGTTGATATAGGAGCCTTTGCCCCAGAAGACATTCATGTTCCCAAAATCTATGTTGATCGTCTGATACAAGGAGAGAAGTTTGAGAAGAGAATTGAAGTAAGTAGCTTCTTAGTCACAACTTATTTCACCTTGGGGTGTATTTTAGAATTTACAGGGTTTTTACTCTAAGGACCAAGTCTTAGCACTGAGAAAATAGTCTGAGAAAGACCTGTCAAGTTTTGCTAAGTGCTGGAGTTTAGGTGTGTATTTAGGTATTAGTTAGGTGGGGGCTTGAGAATTGAGCCTTGTCTGGTACACCTCAGCCTCTCTGGTTCAGTCCCTGGATATTCTAGAACAACTGCCTGTGGTCCTGGATGGCTTTAACACAGTTGAAAATTTGATGGAAAATGCTACTTCCTTCTCCTTGCTTCTCTCAGTTCACCTTCTGTAGGCACGACGTGGGGAACACCTAGTCTAAGAACTGACTTTGACGATTTGATACTTTCTTTTCTGCTGGAGAGTTTTCCCCATGGGCATGTAGGGCCAGTCTCAACCACTTTTGTGCAGTGTGTTGAATTATGTTATGTTGCAAAGGTCCTGGAACTATTTTTTTCTTTTCTTCAATCAGGAACTTTTTTAGGCAGTGGCATTTCTGTTCTGAATAAAAGATGTCAATAGCTGTTAAAATAACAGCAATAATATTCTATCACTGAAAACATCCTAGAAAATTATGATTATGTAATTGTTCTTCTTTGTTTCTGTGGCTTTCCCTCACCCAAGCTATGTGCCAATATTCATTGGCAATGAATGTGACAATGCTTTTAAAGTGCAAGTGAAAATTCTGTATTTCTCCTGTGTCTCCATAATCTGGAGGTGGGAATTACTCAAAATGTCATCAGAAGAGCTGGTGGAGAGGGAAATATATGACACAAGGAAAATAAATCTTCTGGGGGGGGTGAAGTGCAGAAAGGAATTGTAATAATTAAACTTTCATTACTAAAATCAATTCACAAAGTCCTAGAAAGTCATGCAAGACCTTTTCTCTGAGTAAACTCTTTTAAGAATGTTAAGGTTAAAAAGCTTTTTTATTCACTCCATCTGTTCATTTTGCAAAAGCATATTGCATGTTGTTGAGTATTTGACTGGAAACAGATCTGTCAAACCTCTTTTTTTTTTTTCTTTTTTTTTTTTCCTTTTCTCTTTCTCTGTGCGAGTTGTGTTAGTCTGCAATTAATGGCCTGTTTCCTTCTTCTTTGTGGATGCAGTATCTCACAGAAAAACTTTTACCTTTCATGAGAGAAATCCATTTTGCATTTATTAACATTGCTGTTGTTGTTGCAGTTTGACAGTGGATGAAGAGGTGGCTCTCTGTCCAGGGAAGACCTTTATACAAACACCTGATTTTCTTTGGCTTGGCTGTATAAGTCAATACATTTACCTAGTCAACTGCCTGCCCTGTATGCTTAAGAAAAAAAGGAAGTGAGAGGGAGAAAAAAAAAAAGCTGCTATAAACTGGATAGCAAAGTTGTAACAGAGATTAATTTTTTTTTTGTCTAATTTTGTAATTCTGGCAGTGAGGCCTCTTATTAATCGAAGTATAGGAAGGAAATGGCAGATTTATTTAGTCTTTCATAAAAGATTGTATATGAAGGAAATGGCTGTACATATCAATGAAAGCACTGATAAGTAGTGAGAAGGGAGATGAGGAATAAAGTGAATAAAGAGTAGCTAGTCTGTTATAACTCTTACTGGCTTTAAATAGCAGTTCCTGCCTAATTTGGCTCAGATGCGGTCCCTCTAGTGCAAGTCATACTTTCTATGCAGCCTTCTCTTTGCTGCAGAGAAACCCTCTGTGGTTGTTCTTACTTTTTCTGTTAACTCACAAGTGAAGCAATTCTAGGGAAAATAGCCAAGGCATAAAAAGGAAGTTGCTGGGAAATTCAAGAGGACTGATACTGTTTCTGACTTAGAGGAAACTGACTCCCAATGTGGGAAAAAAGACACTACAAAAATTATTTTGTGGTGATGAAAAGGAACAGAGGATAATTTTGCCTGGTGTGTTCATTACAGCCTGAAGTAGGAGAGGGTGGGAAGACATATGGGGGTGCAGGACATGATGTTGCCCAGAGGAGTTTTATATGCATGGGAGAGATGTGAAAAGAGCACAGTCTTTGTAAACAACAATTTACAAAAAAGGCCTTACAAACTTCTTGAATATCTTGGCATTTTCACCAGTCTCAGGAAAGAATTTAAGGCAGATTTATGCAAGATTATACAGATTTATGTTTTAAAATTTAGTTGCTTGGCTCGTAGTATCTATAGATGACTGGCATTTGTCTGTCTTATGCATATGAATCTAGAATAGCCCCATTGAATTGAATGAATGCAGAAAGAGAGCAGTATCTGTATTTTAGGCTGACATTTTACAAATCTATTTAGGTATCTGGGGTAATGAATCTCAGACTTGATAGTATTTGCACTAATGCTTGGTGCCTTCCTAATCAGTTGTCTCTGTATCACATGCTCTCTCAGCCTTGGCAATACAGACAAAGAAGTAACATTTTGCTCTAAAGCTATCATTGGGGATATTTGATGACTCCATTGGCTTAGATAACCTTGAACTGATAAAATAAAAGGTCATTTTTGTAGAAGATGGATAAATAACATTATTCTTATACCAAGTATCTCAGTGCAATCACAAATCAGACTTTTGTGTCTTGAGAAGCAAGAATCTGGATTCTAATATTTACTTATTACTTCTTTTGCAGCGCTTATCCATCCGAAAGCCTGAAGACTCAAAAGCAAAACAAAAACAAGGAGACAATGTGAGAGAGAGGATCATCAGACGGGCTGCGTTAGAGTTTGAGGATGGCATGTATGGTATCCTTGTCACCAGAATAACAACCGCAGCTGTTTTATTTAAGAGAAAACTGTTTTGTTTCACCACCCTCATTGTCTTTCCCAGAGCCTGTGATTCTCTCATTTTATTAACACACTATTAAAATAGATAGGACGTTAAGACATAGGGTAGCCAGAGTTTTTATCCAAGCATATCTGGGGAGTTTGTTAGCATTTGAATGTTTTGCAAAAATTTCTTGAAAAAGTTACCTGCATTGGAAATGGAGCATAGTTGCACCGTGAGTTTTTTATCATGTAAAGCATTTGACAGAGTGCAATTAGACAGTCCAAATGGCAAAAGAATTCATCCCAAATGTGAGGCATCTACCTAAAAATGAAAGTGTTTGTGAAGAGAACAGTTCCAATCTAATCATAGTCCTATTGTAACTTTTTAAAATTTACTAGTTTTCAGTACGTGTGTTCCTGTTTATGCCTTAACCAATTCTCTTCAGCTAATCTGGGTATTGGAATCCCACTCTTGGCCAGTAACTTCATCAGTCCAGACATAACTGTTCACTTACAGAGTGAAAATGGAGTCCTGGGTTTGGTAAGAATGTATCTTGGTCACTTATTGCAGTGTATGTATCTTGCGGTATCTAGGTTTTATTCCCTGCCCACCCCCAACTTGCTTGTAATTTTACTAGAAATCATATTAAAATATCTGCAATATTGCATGATCATAAAATTCTCATTGTAGTGCAGGGAAGCTTTTAAGGAAATGCTAATTTCAGGATTATAGTGCTACTTTGCTAAGTATGTTCTTAAGTAGACGTTATTCTGGAAGGAGTCAGAACCTTCAGTAGTTTTGTCTGTGATGATCTGTTTTTAGTAATAAGCATTAGAAATAATAAAGCAGTTATGAATTCTGTCTCAAAGGTATTTTAATATAAAGCTGACATATGTCTGTGTTCTTGTCAGGGTCCTTATCCACTTGAAAATGAAGTAGATCCAGACCTGATTAATGCAGGTAAAATCTTTTAAAGAAATTTACTTTTTGGAAAATTATTATTAATTGCTGATCTAAAAATTTTTGTGTGATTCCATATTTGAATCCAGACTCCTGTTTTATTTACTTACAAATATTAATATATTTGTCTTATTTTAAGTAAAAGTTGGTTTTGATCAATGGAGATGTTTAATATTCTAGTTAGAGAGCTTAGGCTTTGATGCATTTTAGTAGCTATTGAAGGAAACTCTCTTCGAAGCCTGGCAGTAAAGGGTCCAATCTTCCTCTTCAGAAATGATTGTTTTGTGAAGCCCATATGCAAATAAGGATTTGTTTTCCTGATATTTTTCACCTTGTGTCTTCTAGAAAATGATTTTCAGTGATTTGTGTTTCAGAGCTATTTTAAAACACGCTGTGTATAAAGGCCTAGTGTAGTCCTGGCTAGGGAGTTGCCGGGAATGCATCTCATCTGCACTGGGAGAGGGAGCAGTAGCCAGGACAGGGAGAAGGAGCTCCCCAAACCCAAATGGGACCTGGCACACGGGAGGGCTCTGCTGCTGGTGGCTGCTTCTGTCACTTTAGGAGGGAAATGACAGTCTTCACATACTGTATTTGCCCAGCTTTTTTGGGAAATTTCACCTCAGAAGCAGCCACCTGATGTAAAAGGTTAATCTTTTTATGGTTTAGTGCGTCTGTGTGATTTCTGTTTTCTTAATGGAAAGTTGTGCCTCTGTCCATTCTCTGTTTTAATGTATAAAATTATACCTATATATTACATTGTGACAAACAGAAGTAGGCCTTGGCACCTTTTAAATTCTCATTGATGTTAATGGCATAGGTTATAGACCCATAACTGACATCTTAAAAGTTGTTTTTTTCATATGGAAAACCTATTTTTTATTTATTTATACATATTTATGTATGTATGAGTGTGTACATGTGTATCTATATAGACAGTACCTTTCTCAGCGGCTGTTAGAAGGTACAATTAAACTCTGAAAAGTCAAAGGAGGTAAAGCACTGACATCAAACAAGCTTTTAATTTAATATCAGGGTGCAGTCCACCAATCATTCATTGACTTGAAACATTTACTGCGTGGCTTACCTAATTGATACCATTATCATATTGCTATGTTATTGCCCCTGTTTCAATATAATGTTTGAAATAAGAAGTTATTTAAGGCCATCTTCTGATTTGAAATAAGAAATTATTACAGAATTGAGTTCAGCATTTCACCAGTAGCTAGGTAACTGTTGTGATACACTGTATGAAGGAAAATGTCAGAGGCACATGAGAGCTCTGTTCATGCTTGAACTGATACTGAGGGGTTTTTTAAAAAAAAAGAAAAAAATATTGGAAGTGTCACTGTAAGGAAGAAAAACGTTCAAAATAAAACCAATTTACTATAAAAGGTGAAATTGCATGCACACACATTAAAACTTAAGTTCTAATATCGGTGCATTAGAAATTAACATGTTAATCGAGTGACAATGGAAAAAAATATCGAAGAACTTTGATAAATACTCTGAAAAATAATTGTGCTTTTGTATGGATGTCAAGATGATCTTGAATTTTTATTTATGGTTGATGGATATTTTGAAGAGATAATCTTACAGGGATGAAGCTAACATAAGGGTGAGGGAGCTGTTTTTTAGTCTGGCGAAAAGGAGACTGAGGGGAGACCTTCTCGCACTCTACAACTGCCTGAAAGGAGGGTGTAGAGAGGTGGGAGTCGGTCTCTTTCCACAAGAAACAAGTGATAGGACCAGAGGAAATGGCCTTAAGTTGCACTAATATCCTAGATTGGATATTAGGAACAAATTATTCCCCAAAAGAGTTAGAAAGCAATGGAACAGGCTGCCTGGGGAAGTGGTTGAGTCACTATCCCTGGAGGTATTTAAAAGACTGTAGATGGGGTGCTTAGGGACAAGGTGGCTTTGGCAGTGTTAGGTTTATGGTTGGAATTGCTACTCTTGAAGGTCTTTTCCAACAAAAATGATTCTATGATTCTGTTAGAGGTCAGAATGCAATATGGAAACCACATTATTCTAGGATGAGTAATTCGATGTTAAGCACCTTTACATCTTCCTCTGAAGCTGCAGTGCAGGACACAGGGTAGGTGAACCTCAGCTCTGCTCCCAAAATTATTATTGTTATAATTGCTGAAACGTTCAGAAGCTGTTAAGTCCCACTCACAGTTAGTTGGATTAAGACCATTCTAGGTGCTTCCAAGCCAAATTTATAAAACCACGTGAAGAAAACAAAAGCTAAATGGCAAAGGAATAGAATTTAATTCTGTTTCCATTTATTGACTGGAATGGTCCAGTATCAGCCCCTGGAGTCCGCATTTTCAAAATACACTCCGGGTTTGGGCTTTTGCCAAATTTATTTGCAAATGTAATTGCCTTTCTCTGAAATACTTACGGGTTTTTTGTTTGTCCCATTTTCTGAATGTCTAACATGAAGTTTATCTTCAGTGTAATTGAAAAGTAGACTTCTGTCTTAACAGCAGAAATATTTACCAGTACTGACTTTCTGAGAGCATTTTCAAGAAGTGAGTAGTACGGTGATCTTGTTACATTATTCTGTGGTCCTCGGCCTGTGTCTCTTTCTTCGCAGCATTTGCCTTAGCTTGTCACTTTGTCCTGGGGTTCTTGCTCCATGTGTCTGCTTGCAGACCATGCTATCTCTCCCACTGCCTTGGGTGGGTGCCTGGTAGGGAAGGACAATTCAGGCAGTCTGAGCAGGTCTGGATATTAGCATGGTGAATTCTTGTGATCTGACTGCAAGACCACTTGTATGACTTTAATTCTATACTATTTTGTGTGTCAAAATTTAATTTCCATACAGTGTCTTTGCATATAATATACATCAAGTGAACTTAATAAACTAAAGCAAGTAACTTAGGTCTCTATTTTAACTTTCCTTCAGTGTTTCCTTCCCTTGTCCCATCCTCTTAGTTATTCTCGTCTCTTTTTCCCTGTTTTCTGACAACTGTTTAATGATGTCTCATTTCTCTTTATTGTTATTACACTGACTTTTTCTTCACAATGTCATCTGGTGCAGAAGTATTTAGTTTTTTGTTTTTTCTCTCAAGTTTCCCATACTTGGTTTATAATGTCACCTTTGTCTATGTTTCCTGTGCCTTTCCGGAAGCACTCAGACACGTGTTTGTTGCTCAGACTGATTCAAAATGCTGTCAGGAGAGGAAAGACAGGGCTCTGGTCAGAGTGAAAATAAGGCACTTCTATGTGTGTTCCATTGCTTGACCCAAGCACTGTGCAGACAACAGTACAGCACTTTAACAAAGCAAGAGTAAGTTCAATCTGTCATTTACTTTTCTGTATTCTACATCATTATCACTCTAGACTGTTCAGTCTGGTCTGCTCATTCTTCCCTGCAACGTCCCTGTCTTCTGAAGATGCTCTGTCTCTGTTTCAAAAGAGAGTTACCTCTCACTTTCTCTGTGGATAGAGCAGAAAGCTAAAGTCCACAGAGTTTTCTAAGCCTCTGGTGTCAGTGATGTCTTACCTGGAACTGCTGGTGGTCAAAGAGCAGACAATCCTATCATTAAAAACTGTGAAAAAACTGCTTCACAATTCATTATGATTGATTAGGTTTACATGTGACACAGTAAGTGTAATCAGGTCCATAGCTGTACAGAATTCAAAGGAATTTGATTAAGAAAACCCTTATTTCTTGGTTAACAGCTGTGACTTCAGTTGTAAAAGAGAAAAAATACATATGCACTATAGCTTATTTCTTTTACAGGTAAGGAGACAGTCACTGTTCTTCCAGGTTCTTCCTATTTCTCTAGCGATGAATCATTTGCAATGATAAGAGGGTAGGTAACAATACAAACTGTGATCTTTTAAAACATGAAAAGAATAAACTGAGTCAGTGACTGAACTCATTAGTATTTCTTTGAAATGTGATTAGCATTTAACATCCTGTAAAATGATCATGGACTAAATCAGTGATGGTTTACAGAGGATTAGGTATAGCTATTGGAAATAGAAAAACACTGTAACTAATAGATACCACAGTGATGTTCGTGTCTACCACCACCTGGCCATATATAAACACATTTATAACTATGTTTTAACAACTACTTTTTGGTCATTTCCAAGTATCTAATCTCTACTTGCACTCTGTATATTCTCTTTGCTCAGCTTGCAACTGTGATCCTCATTCCACCTCCCTAATGGAAATTCACTGTCTGCACCTGTTTTTTGTTTGTTTTTCGGGAAGGAGGTTGGATGCAAACAAACACTAAGTCCTAATGGCTCTGAAAAGACAATAAGTGCATGTAAATATGTGAAGGAGTGCACTTAGAAGTATGAGTTCAGAGCTGATTGATTGTGTATGCAATTAACCAAAACCAGACAAAAGTAATAACATTTTTGAAGGCGCAGCAGGCAGACAGAAAAATTTGCATCAACAGTACATCTAGAGGGGAAAAAGGAACAACTACCTGTGCAACAAAATGGTTGCTACCTCTGTGGTATGCCACCATTTTTATACTGATGTAATGAGAATGTGAACAAAAGCTTGTTAAGATTTGTGGGCTGTTACTTGAACATGATATGCTAATTACATGCTCTCTCTTGCCAGAGGCCATGTTGATTTGACAATGCTTGGAGCTATGCAGGTGTCTAAGTACGGTGACCTGGCCAACTGGATGATTCCTGTAAGTAGGTGTTTGTACTGCTGTCAGTACACCTGTATTTAGGATAATATAAATGTAGCTGAGGGTCAGGCAAAGGAGAAAAGGGCTGAAGCAGAATGGGGATTGTGAAGCTCAAAGCATTAAAATAAAGCATATGTGCAGCTTTAAGCTTAACAGGTTTTCATGCCTACTGCTGGCACCGAGCAATCAGTTATCAGGAGTCAGCCCTCTAAAATTATGCTTGTGCTAAGCATTGTGAAAAGCTAAACATGATTTATGTAAGCCTTTTTCCTTCCTCTTGGGTCTGTGCCTTTCAAATTTTTTTTTGCGCTGAGGACTGATGCTTTTTCTTGCGAGTGACAACTCTTGTATAGTTGTACCTGGAGCAGTAACTTGAAGGAAGGTGTAAAATAGCACGTAGAATATAATAAAATTATAAAAAATGTTTGCATTATTTTTCTCAGTGTTTCTGCCAAAGGATCACAGCATTGACATTTTGGATACATCTAGAAGGAAGCAATGCTATTGTGTTTACCCAATAGTCCTACAGGTTTCAACCATAGAAATATAAGCTAATCCCAGTATTATTTAAGCAGCTGATGACATTAAGCCATTGTTTGAACACAGTTTATGTTTCAGTTTAAACAACAAACAAACACAAGGTTTACAAGACTGATTTTTTCAACATCTTTCAATATGGTACTTTCTGATAATGGTGTCTAGAAACAGATTTTCTTTTTAGCCTGGTTTAAAGTAATGAGGCGTATTTTTATCTGTCTGAGCAGTGCTAAAGGTCTCAGGAAAGTCTTTGAAAACTGAAAGCTGGGTAGAGTAGGGAAAAAAACACAAAAGAATGTCGTGTCTCTTGGAGAAGCATTAGTTAGACAGCAGTCTGTGTGACTTCTCCAGCAGGTCTGTGAGCACCTAAGTCATGGAGCAGTGGCTGGAGCAAAAGCTGCTTTAGGAGAGTGAGGACAAGGGGACCAAGGTGAGGTCAGTACAGGCAGACGTGGGAGAAGCGTTATCTGAATTGCTGTTTCAGGTGTCTTTGTGAGCGGTTGTAGGGGAAGTGGTTATGGCTAGGTTGGAATATGGCACATAGAAGATAAATCCATAAAAAACAGTCTTCCTTAGATGTTCTCACTGCACAACCTAGTTTTATGGTCACACAACTGATAACAGATGGACTAGTGCTGGCTAAATCTTTTCAGACCACACTGGTACAAGTGCTAGCTTGCTCAAGACTCTTTTCTGCTTGCAGTGTCATCCAGTTAATATTGTGGAAAAACAAGGTCTGAAAATTAATGCTGCTGTTAGTCCATCACCCTGGGATCCTGTGTGCGCTCTTCTATTGCTGTTTTATGTCTCTTGGTAGAACTGTGTTTTAAACATAATCTGATGGTCAGATATACTGTAGGAGTCCCAAGTATGGTGCACATTAAGTTAATATTGGCTAGCTTTGCATTGTCCGATTCCAATTTCTTTTTTTTTTTCTTGAGTTACAAGAACTTGTCACTAGAATCCAAAAAAATGAAACCAGCCTCTAAAGAGGAACCCTCACACACCTTGAAATATAAGGGATAAATCAGATTACATTTTTAACTCTAGGTTTGTTGTTTGAGCTAAGGCAAAAGTACACTAGTGTAAGTTTTCAGAGAGTTGAAACCTCAGGTAATTAAAATTGGAGTTAATCTGATTTATCCATGGCTCTGTATCTCAAAGGTATGATAAGTCACCAAAACTCTGATTATGTATTTTAATTAGCTAACTTCAAAAAAACTTACATTTAGTAAACTATATTTTTTTAGATGACAGACATAAATAAATGTAAGTAATCTACAGCATCAGTCCAATACTGCAGGTATATGTCACTGACAAGCCAAGTGGGATATTTTTTCCTTCATATTAATCTAAGAGCTACTCTTTTACTGGATAAAGTAGCTCTTTTACCTTTCACAAAGGTTTTGTGAAAGCACTTCCTTGACATTAACATGTGGTGGCTGTGATGTCTTGTACAAGTAGAAATTGCTTGCTTAAATAGAGACTTAAAAAAATTCTGAATTACATTCTCTGTCACCATTTTTAAGATAGACTAGAAAAAATATTTAAAGGTAAGTTGTTATACTATAAACTGTTTTTTTTTTTTGTAAATGGTATTTTGAGATTTTCTTACAGGCATATTTCAAGATTATTTCAATCCATACATCATTTTATTTCAGTTGTCAGATAAGTTCTAGGTTTTATTAAGCTGGGTTGCCTTACACTGACATTTTCTTTATACTTTTATAAAATAAAAGTCACTATATAAACCTGTCCCTACATTACCCTTTATATTCAAGATTACTTAACTCCTGAGATTTTCTTCTTTGACAGTCCTTTGGTCCTGCAAATGCAGTGTTAAATGCTCCTGCACCTGTGTGTTGAGTTTGTGTGTGTGCGTGGGGGGCAGGGGGAGTTTTTGGTAGTGGGGGAAGGAAGCTTCACAAAGCTCCCCCAGCTCCAAGG